TTTTACTTAAAGGAAAGTCCAACTGGAATCTCTTTTAATCTTCTTTTGTGCAGAACCTCCCCTGCATTTGACTATCTCATCTGGTCCAGATCACAGTCAAAGGGGTGTCATCTTAGGGGAAAATGTGATCATGTCATCCTTCTCAACTTCTCTAGTTGTGAAGAGATAGAACCCTCTGGTGCTTGGCCTTTCAGAGCGCTAGTGAGTAATGGGAGCAACCATTGGTTACAGCTAGGTTTGCACATCCATTTGCCAACAGAGGGAAAGGATTTTTTTTTTTTTTCTCCCATGGTGAGGCATGTTTTATGACTGTCCACATATTCACCCTCAGTCACATGCTCTGCCTGATTTCAGGCCCTTTCTTGTTTTTGTGTTTGTAAATTGCTAGCTTCTTGGATTTCAGAATTGGAAAGGATCCTTTGTAATTCTGCAGGGCTTAAAAGGTGAATGGATACCCGCTACAAGAAAAGAGAGCAAAAGCAACTGGGCCCTGAACCTCAGGCATCCAGACCTGAGCAACTGGCTCTAATACACAATTGCTTTCAACCTTTGTGTGATACTACTTTCACTTCAAGCCTCTCTTTTTCTGAAAGTGCTTCAAGACCTTTTGTCCTTTTGGTATTTTTCTCAAGTCCTGTATATTTCTGTGGAAAAATTCTACTTCATAGTAAGATACACACTGCCAACCACAACAAAGGCATCCATGTATTACAAGACCATATCCATCCCAAAGCAGGTAGCCTGATCTTGAACTCAACACCCTTCCTGCCTCCTCAGCCAATCCCTACTAGAAACACAGGTGGTTTTTTGTTGTTGTTGTTGTTTTTCTGCTTTGTGAAGAAGACAGCTGGGTTTCCAGTGTTTAAATGCAAGACAGACAGGGTCAAGTTCATTGTCCTGCAGGGCTGGCTCTCTGTTTGCCAACAAGCAGAAATGACAACTGAAAATTTGGGCACATTGGCAGCTTTTATGGCCTTTGTGCACTTCAGATTCTAAGATAACCGCAGCCATGTAACATTTAAAATATCTCCCAGTTTGGAATCTGCTTTCATCTTCCCCAATCCCAGACATGCCCCTACCAGGGGAAGACTGAAATGTCAAAGTGGAGAGTCGTAGGTCCTCAACTCAAAGTCCTTCTCCTTGGTGCCAAAATCAAGCTTTGGACAGATTGTAAAGACTCTGACCTTGCTTGAGTTATGCTTTTTTCCTTTGCTCAGAGTGTTGTCATAGAGATAGTCAATTTCTGTCTCTCATGGTGTATTTTTGGTATTCAGATGGGACCCTTAGCTGATGTGCCTCATTAGCCCTTCCTTGGGTGATGTTGCTGACACCTACTCAAGGCCATTGCTGTTGAGTGGACAGGTCTCTCCCTCTCAGACCTTTTATTGTTCTGTAACTGTCTGCTGGCCAAAAATATGCTGTTATTTGTTCCTAGACTTGTTTATGCCCTTTATATTCATAATTGATATGAGTGATTTCAATATTGTGAAAATCAGCAAGTTATTCTTGTCTTTCAAAAGAGGGATGATATCAAATAAAACGCACAGAAAGAATAGGGTCAGCTCCAGTATACACACAGACTACATCTGTGTCTGTCACATGACATGGCTGCATTTTTAACACAGGAATGCAGCCATTATTCATAGAGGATAACATGAAACAGTTGTTGGCGCTGTCTACATTTAGAGGCTTCACTGCAAAAGACCCACAACACGATTTCAATGTTTATAATTTAAATTGAATAACATACACACATGCTGTATAGATAGGAGTTGCCGTGGTTTCCCCTAAGGCAGCGGTTTTCAGTTAATGGACATGGCCACATTTTTTCTTGTTTTAACATCTGTTCCTGTGAACCTCAAGAAACTTTTGAGACATTTCAGAGACCGAGTAACTGTTTTATGGTGTCATATACCTTTAATCCCAGCACTGAGGAGGCAGAGGCAAGTGGATCTCCTATTGTTTAAGGTCAGCCTGGTCTACATCATGAGTTCCATGAGATCCAGGGCTAGTGAGATCCTGCCTCGAATCCAAGCCAAACAAAGGGTGACAGGAACTAAGGGGGGAGTTGGATGAGCTTTGTGTGTTCTAGAACACTACTTACAAGAATCAGTGAAATAGGGATGTAAAGGATTGCAGAAACTCCAGCTGGACTGCTAACATGCAGAATGTTCCAGAATTTGCTTACTGAGCCCAAGTATCTTCTGTTTGCAACAGATCTTTGGAGTTAAAGTATGGTTTTTGTTGTTAATTGCCTTGAATGGAATAATTTTCAACTACTTTTACGGAATTCCGCTCCTCCTCCTTCACCTCATCCTCTGCTGATGTTTCTGTGTTGTTCTGTTCTGATGGACAGTCTGTGAGATAGTCGAAAGCCCCTTTTCTACTCTGTTTATGAAAATGCATCCCACCAAATCCTGCTGTCAAAGAAAAGTCTCTGGGTGTTGACAAACACTCACTGGTTTTTGCATTAGAATCAGAGGGATCTTCATGTCTCTGACTTTCTGGCACATTCTTCTAATGCCTGGACACTCACTGGTCTTTTGGATCAGAGACTGCTGGTTAATGTATTTGGATGCATGCAGAATGCTGGCTGAACCAATTCAACATGGTATCAACTCTACACTAATTCCCCCAAAAGACAAATCCTTATCCTTCTCCAACTCATTAAATTACTTTTAATATTACTTTTTATGTAAGTTGCCACTGGATTTAGAGCTAAATTTATTTACATTATTTTCAGTTATGTTGAACAGAGTCCTAATAAATTCTCTTTTCAATCACCCACAAAGTGTTAAGTGAGGCTGAACACACTCATCCCATGAACTTTCTGTAGAAATCTTTTCCATGTCAGTCTTGTCACATTGGAAGACTGGAGGAACTCTTGGCCTGGAAGCGTGCTGAACCCCAGGCAGGAATTGCCTAACACACACTTGCAGGCCATAGTTTTATTCATGTCATTAGTGAAAAATGGGGTATCCTGCTTAGAGCCCTTCACTGTTGAGTCAACGTTCTTATGCACAGTGTGGATGTAGTGCCAAGACCTCACCAGGCATGCTCATCAGAAAGGCACTCCCTCTGAGCTGAAACGTGGACCTTTGTGTGGGGGGCTTGATTTTTATCTTCACATTCACAGCAGCCAAGAACCATCAAGAGCTTCATGTCCTGGCCAGGGTTGCTGGGGCTTCCTGGCTTCGTGCCTGTGTCCACGCCTTAGCCTTTTACTTGTGCCTCTTACAAAACCATGGTGTAGGATATCCGTCCGCAATCCGCCTTTTCAACCCCAGCTCTACTGATGCTTTGGACTCAGTGACTTTTTCTTGGGCTTGGCTTCCTTATGTGTCGCAGGACATCAGCAGCATCTCTAGCTTCTTCCTACCCACCAGATTTCAGTCTTGCATGCCCAGCTGTGACCAATGAGTCCCTTCAGATTTGGCCCATTGTCCCGTGGGAGTCAGAACCATTGGGGCCATTCAGTACCTACATCCAGCTGTGGTTTCTTCTGTTAGCTCCCTGACAAAATTTCCATGTGACCCAGCTCTGCTTTTAAAGAACCGAGGTCCTTCTGGGATGCTCAGCTCGGGTTGTCACAACCGTATCTGTGTTCACCTCAGCACTGGAGGTGATGAATATGAGACTGAGTGGCCCAAAGCCTTCCTACACTATCTAGGATCACCCTCTTCATGTAGTGGTACTGACATTTGTTCACTTTTATTTTTTTTTTGGGGGGGGAGGGAGCAATGAGGCGCCTCTGTATTTTTAGGCATCTATAACTACTTAGTTACTACTGTTTTTTGATGATTTTTAAAGCTTACTAAAATTATTTTTTTTCCTACAGAAGATACACAGATAACCATGAGATGTAAGGAAAAAAATGCTAACTATCAGGAAATATAAATCAGAACTACAATGAGACACTGCCTTCATTCATAAAGACAACATCATTTTTAAATGTTGACCAGGATGCAGGGAAAGGAAGATGCTGTTGGTGGGAATGTGTGTGACCACAACCGCTATGGAGATGCTGTTGGTAGGAATATGGGCAACCACACTCGTTATGGAGTTGCTGTTGGTGGTTATGTGTGAGACCATAACCGCTTTAGAAAACCCAGTGAAATGTTCTCAGGAAACCAGAACTGCCACCATAAGGGATCCACCCTTACTCCTGGGTATACCCCCAATAGAAATGACATCACTGTATCTCAGAGATGACCACACTCACCACTGCACACTTCACACCAGCCAAGGCTGTGGTCCTTCTGGGCCCTTGACTTCAGTCTCCATGTTTAAAAATGAACTAAATCATAACACCTGCCACTGTGGTCACAGTTTGTAAAAATTTCACACACAAACCCCCCAAAGGAAAAAAAAAATACAGCAATTTCTGAAAGTTTTGACCATGCCTTAAATCTTAAAATTATTGTCAATGACCTAAGTATAACTTGCCTATTGAAAGTTTTGGATTTATTCTAGTGGGCTTCAATCACTACAAAGTTTAAATTAAAACAAAATGCATACAAACAGTTGTAGTTTCCTGAGAGGGGACCCTGCCATAGGGAAGGAGAGGACCAACACACTTTCTGAGTTCCTTGAAAATACCTGTATATGTGGTGTGAACAGAGCAGACCTCCCATTAATCCTAGCCCGTACAGTGTGAACTCAGGCCTTTGATCTATAACATCTGAAGGGCTTATATTTTACTGTTTTGCCAGAGCACAGTGCTGTGCTCAAGGCTATAGATTCCAAGGGAGCAAGCCATCAAAATGATACTTGCTCCTGATACCACAAAGGTGCATTTGCAAGATAAACATGTTCATGCTCTCCTTCATCCTGGGTTCATATACCTGGGGTTGGTGCTTGGGTCGAAGGATGGATGCTTAGACATAACCTAGAATTATGGTCAAGGATGGACCCAGCATGGGCCCCCAACAATTCTTGCATTTGGGAGTAAACATCATTGTCACTCAGAATAGCAAAGTGGGAAGAGAATGTGAACATACCTATAGATAATACATGCACTGTTCCTGCACGTGTCACAATTAGCTGTGTCTTGCCCCGTCCGATATGAAAGCCTACAAGATAAGAACAGGAGAGCATTACAATCGGTGGCTGGGGGTGGGGGGCCGCTCGCTGGCCTCACAGAGCAAAAGCCTCAATTCAGATGCCTTCCCGATGTGAGATGCTCATGATCACAGGAACTGATGCCTATGTGTTTTCCACTTTGCTCCTGTCTCTGCCTTTATGGTACCAGCCAGTACACGTCTACAGCCAAGATGTCACCAAAATTAAATTTAGAATGTGAACATACGCTCCTGGATGAAGTGTGTAATCTGATTGCAATAGAAGCATGAGGAGTAGGATGTTTAAAAATATCTTAATGTTTATTGTACTTAAAAAAAAAATCTTCCAGGAGAAAGCCATGGGTTTAGAGGCTGACAACTGCCTGGTTTTTAACCTACCACTTCCTGTCCTGCTAGAGCAGGGATTGACGTGTGTGGTCCCTGAGTCAAGTTCTAACCCCAGCCTCCATAACCAGTTTGTCTAGTATGCCCGGGATGGATTTTACATTGTTAAATGCTTGGAAAAGTATCCAGAAACTATTACCTATAACATGACTAAACCATGTATGTCTCCAAAGGGTTTCATTCTGATCATAAAGATTGTGATTTAATACATAGATGAATATTCATATAATTTCTCTGAGTCTGCCTTTTGGCCCATAAATCCTTGAGTATTTCCTTTGTGGGTCTGTAGAGAAAACAGCTGCTGTTGTCTGTGAATGTATCTCTCCCACTGTCAAGACTTCTGATGCATTCTCTGGCTGTGCTGTCTGCTAAGTAATGACCTTGTAAGGGGAACATGGCAGACTTCAGCTCACTCTGGAGACCAAGCAGATTTTTGAGGTGTGTGAGTGTGTGTGAGCATGTGTGTACAGGTGTGATTGTGACCCTCTCATAATAAAATAACTAACTCTCGAGTATTTTTTTGTATTGTATTGAAACTTGCTTTTGACGGGGAGGATTTTCTTAACTAGGTCAGGGTTGCCTAGAATATATTTGTCTTGGACCATTCAACCTCCAAAAACCTTGCATGTGGTGCTTCTGCTTGCTCCCAACTACTCCACCTTAGTTGGACTTTCTGCTCCTTCTAACACACGTGTGTACTTTATTCTAAATATTATTTGCACTGAGGGTCAAACATGAGCAACCAAATCTGTCTTGAGAGAACCGTCTCCATCTGGCTTGGTGTCCAATCACCTTGGGGTCATATTTGTATGGACAGCATAAGCCAGCAAGGTAACCATGTGTACATTGGCTGTGTCAACGCCAGCGTTCTGCGTTTGTGTCATCTTTTGCTGTGTACACTGTGTGCGTTTGCATTGTGAGTTTCAAATTGAAAATAACATTTGTTTCCTCATTTATATTTTGTGTTATGTAAACATCTGACAAAATCATTGACTGCTCAGTGCTGACATTGTCTCTGTGGACTCAGTAAATGCAGGCATGGCTTCAAGTTCAGTGCAGTTCAGTTTGGGGTAGTTTATTTGTTAATCAAGTGACTCTGTTCTGCTCCAAAGTCTTGCTGAACGTTTTCTGTGATGCGTTGCGTTTGAAAGAGAGTTAGAATCACAATATCGCTGCGTTTGTAGTGCCCCTCTGTTATACTGGGCAGCTTTGGACACTCCTATCTGACCTTTTCACCTGGGGCTCATGTGCTCCGCCTGCTCTTCCCCAGGCACATCAGGTTCTCATTCTTAGCTCTTTCCCCGGAGTGGCAAGCCCAAAGGATACACGCTGCCTCTTTGTCCCTTCCTAGCTAGAGCCCTTCTCCAACCTCTAGTGGATGCACAGGGCCATTCTCTCTTCAGTCTTCTCACTTGAGCTTGGCCCTCAGTGTGTTCTTGACCATAGCCCCTGCAGAGTGAGAAACTGTACCTGAGCCCACATCCCTGCTGAGACATCCTAGCAGTATATGTCTGTGCTGATGTGCTGTCAATCTTCAGGGCTGGGTTGTTCACAAGTGCTGCTATCCTAATGTGTATGAGCAATAGGGAAGCAATGGACCTAACAGTCACCCTTTCGTGCTAGTCACATCCAACCTCTAGATGCTTAAAGAAGGCTACTGTGGTCCCAACCACTGTTTGGGGCCACTCATTGGTACACTTCAAGCTCCCAGAACCTTCCTGCCCTAGACCTCACTACAACCTCATCCAGCATCACACCTCCAAGCCTCAAGGGTCTCACTTGTATTAGTGCCTGGAGTCTTCCAATTAATTATTCTCATTTTATAGAACAGAATGCAGCCACACTCCAGGCCCAGGAACTCATTATTCTTAGACCCTGGGCTTCTGATGCTCTGTGCTGCCTTGCCTCTATCCAGGGACTTGTGTTTTTCATTACATGTAATTGGCAGCTTGGGATAGTCAGCAAATCTGAAAACTGACAGGACAAAGGCTTCAGGTACCAGAGAGTCACAAGAGGATCCTCCTCCAGGATGGGAGAATGCTTTAGCAAGAAGCTGTCCCTTTCTGAGCTTTCCTTAGGAGGCTATGCTAATCACTTGTAAATCCCACACATTTCCCTCCCAGTCTATTAGCAAGTACCTACTGAGTCAGGCATGGCTGTGGCCATCCAGAAGCTATTTGCTATGATGTTAAGTGCTTGCCCTTGTGAAGTAGAAGCATGTGGTCAGCACGCGGGGAGGGTTGGATTGTCTCCTAGTGGTGGACAGTCACATTTCTTTTTTTTCTCAGTGGTATTTTTCATCAGCTTTCCCTATCTGTGACTTAAGTTCCAGACTTCATTACTTGTCAGAACCTCTCTTGGAGGGATCCTTCTGAATGTTAGGAATGGTTTCTTTAGTATCCTTTCTGTGGTTGTCATTTAAAGGAATCAGACAAGCCAGAGAGGGATTAACTTGTGGTAAAAAGTAAGATGTTGACCTGTGTTATGTGGCTTGTAGCAAACTCAGCACAGGACTCCTGCCAGCAGGGATTGTCAGTCAGGGTCTCTGCTGAATCTGTTATGCTCTGTGCTAATTGATCTTGGACCTTCCAAGCTCTAGGATTTGGCTTCACTGATCATTTTAAGGGCACATTAATATCTGGGCTGCAGTATGTGAATTGGGTCAGTTCTGCAAATACAGACTTAACAGATATGTTCTTCTTGAGGGCAGGAACACCAAGTGCCACTCAGTAATGCCCATGTTTCTTCACCCTTGGAACCCTTCCCATTAAACCAGGACTTGGAATGATTGTCTCTCTGTATCACTATTGTAACTGAGAAGAACAATGCCAAACTGCAGGCCACTAGAGCAAGAACTTCTTCAGATACAATGAAGCATAGATCTCTGTTGAATCAGAGCTTCACAGATACTAGAGTTCAAGTTACTAACCTAAAACTAAACCAGGACGTTTTGATCAGCTTTTTTTTTTTTTTTTTGTGGGTTTTTAGTTTTTATTTTTGTCTAAGAAGGTTCTGACTTTGTAAAGTGTTCTTTCTGTTTGCTTTCAGGAATCTACACTTTATACTGGGTTGTAAGTTCATTCTCCATTCAATAGTGGTCCCATTGGGTTATTTGGTTAATATGACTTAGACTCAGACTTAGTTTTCTTACTCTAGAACAACACATGAATCAAATGACAAATGAGAGCTAAAAAGAAACAGAAAGATAAACTGTGAATAGTTCTATCCTCACAAGGTAAACCCCTCTGGGCTCTAGTGGCAAACACAGTTGTACTGTGTCAAGATAGCACAGCACTCCCCTGTCTTACTGTAGTGACCTGTACCTTTTTAGTCTTAACAACAAATGCTATGGGGGCTGGAGAGACAGCTCAGCGGTTAAGAGCACTGACTGCTCTTCCAGAAGACCCGGGTTCAATTCCCAGCACCCACATGGCAGCTCACAGCTGCCTGTAACTCCAAGATCTGACATCCTCACACAGACATACATGCATGCAAAATACCAGTGCACATAAAATAATAAATAAAAAAACAATAGTAAATGTTACTAGACTTAAGAAAATAGGATGTAGCACCAGGGACAGCTCCCAGGCCAAGGGACAGTCTTTTAAGCAGCAGGTTAGATTTTTTTTTTTTTTTTAACACTTACATATGCTGCATGTGTGAGTATGGTCTCCCTACCAGTCCATCTCTCTGTCCACCTATTTGCTCATCTCCATTCAGGAGTGTGTGAATGTTATCTGTGCAGAGGTAAACATGCCTGTGTAAAGAGCGTGCATCATGCAAGTATAGCTCTAGTGTCAAGCCCCAGGCACTTCTCTCTGTTTAGAACAGGATCTCTTATTTGCTATGGAACAAGCACAGTAGAATGTTTGAAATGTTTGTGAGCTCCTAGGTATTTGGCTGTCTTTACTCTCCATCTCATGATCACTGGATTATGAGAGCATGCCAACAAGCCCAGCTTTTTACATGGCTGCTGGGGATTGACCTCTCACACTTGCAAGGCAAGTGCTTGAATGACTGATCTATGTCCCCAGCCCTCTGTACCTTTTTCTCTTGGCTCCAGCAAATGTTTCTAACTCAGAACCCAAATCAGCCACCCAGAACGTCTTTCTCCTTGATGATGCTCTTTGGACACATCCTTGTGTTGTAATGGGCTTTCTGGAAAGGTCCAGGCAACTAGACATGATTTGTAAGCTTGGTAAGGACAGGAAGCATGTGAGTTCAGTGGAATCTGGACAAGGACGAGCTGTTCTAGGGAAACAGAATTTAGACAAGCTCGTTCCACAGAGCACTTCTGGTGGAAACCAGTTGTAGGGTCACTTCGGCTTCAATATGAAACCTTATTTCTCAACAAGGTTTTACATCATTTTAAAAAGTGCCGTGAGTGTGGTTTGCAGAGAACAGCCTGCATCTCAGGGTGTTCCTTCTCAGAGAACCAGTGGATGCCTCCTTGTAGTGGCCATTATTACTTGAGTGCAGTTCAGCACTCCAGTCTCCCTGGCTACCGAGTGCTTTGATAGTAATTTGCTCCAGTTCTTCAGCTGTTGTTAGTAAAAGTCCCTGAGTATATAAATACAAATAATGTATTTTTCTACAAGTACATCCCC